AACAGTTAAACACTGGGGTAAAACTTATGAGGCCAGAATCAGACCCACAGTTTGTAATGATAGAACTAATTTTTAGACAAAAAGGGGTAGGGGGAAGCCGTGCCATTGGGGTATTATGGAAATAGGAGTCATTCCGCGGTTCCTACAACAGGAGGAATCATAATTTTGACTTTAGCAATACCACGGCTGTGGAATGGACACTGACCCACATTTCAAACTGCAGTGGTACAAATGGCCCTAAGTCGGTGCAGCCAGCCTTGGGAGGATGACTAGCGTAGCGGGGGAGATCCTCTAATATAGCAGCACCTACATCATATGCTCCCCGCTGCCAGGACAGGAGGTGTGGGTGGAAGAAAGTGATCTAGCTCAGCTTCCTTACACTCTGGTGATCCCCAACTGCCTTGTTGACCCTTGAGGCTACTGGCAGCTCATGTAATTTACAGAAGTCCTCAGGCTGCCCTAAGTTAGGCCAGAGGACTGGCCCTGCACAGGCAGCCCAGACCTGTGAGAGACTATAAATTCATCTTTGCACCCTTCTCTCCTGACCTATGCTGTGTGCTCCTCAATTGTAGCCAAGAATCTGGGACACTGTATGTTAAAGAAGTGCAATGAAAACCAACTTTTTTTTTTTGGTATGCTTAGTCTTTTTAAAATGACATCTGTTCTAAATCCCTATACAGCTCAGTGTTTCTCACTGCATTTCCAAAGCCATTCTTTTGTAAATAGATAATTAGTACTTAAGCACCCCCTTTCAAGGGGTTTCTACATTAACATAAAAATAGTATAATTACTGATGGTCAAAATGGCAAGAGTACACTTTGTAAATTCTAATTTCTTTTGCTGCTCAAGACGGATGAATTTCTTTCTTCTTTGCCACCACTTAAAGCTGTCTTAAATATGACTATTACTGCACCCTAAAATATACCTGTTAAAACAAGAAGGAAAATATCTACCATCACTGCAGAAGTTTCCATTTTAGAAAGGACCTGACACTAAGATTGTTTTCTTTAATGAAGATTTGTATCTTAAAACAACAGGGATACTGACTAGTGATCAAAATTAGCTGATTTTTATATAAACAGCAATGCTATAACAATCATCAACAGTGTATAATTATAGCAATGTAGAATATTAGTATAATTCTGTTCAAATGGGCATTTTCATTCCAAAACTATTTTCAGGTAATGTCAATTTTCAGTGAGAAAAATTTGACCCTTTGTGGTAAAATTTCATATGGAAAATCACAGCCCTGAAGTGAATTTGTGTTGAGAAGTTTGATAAAATTCTGCTTCTCCATTTTTGAGATTTGAAAATAAGAACAAAATGGTGGTTGTCACCAATTAAATGTTCCAGGTGTGTTTCATTTTTGCACTGTAACTCTAAGCTTTATTTCAAATTTGGCATGAACTTATTCCTCAAAGAAGAAGAATGCCTTTGACATATTTAAGGTAATTTCATTCAGAAATAATGAAGCTAGGAACATTAGAAAATGTGCAGCATAATTAAGTAATCTTCTGCGTCTACACACAAGATCACAATGCTCCACATACACACTCACACAAGTGGGTGTAGAACTGGAGCGTCAGATTGAACATTTAGCTCAAATGTCATAAGTGTAACTCAGAGCCATGTTGTGCTCTAGAGCCTTGGAGTATATAACATTTGGAAATATTCACGCAGGCTGGAGCAAACTACACAGATCTTTTCCAATACCATCATTAAAGAATGCAATGGGTGGGGGGGAGAGCTGCACGTCTAATTTGATGGCTGCACTAGGACAGAGACGATGTTTTTGTGTTTGTTCTATAAAGCGCCTCATGCCTTTTTGGGTGCCAGATAAAAATAAATTAATAAAATAAAAATAGTGAGAGGACTGAGTGCAGGGGATAACCACAGCACAGCGTGTCCCCAGTATTCAAGGATAAGATCCAACTTAACCATCCTGCATTATATATTGATGAATAATATCTAGGCAGAAGGGCTCTGGATTATTTTCAAATGCTTAAAGTGACATCAGTGTGTGGGGCACATTGAAAATATAGCATAATCTCAAGTTTTCTTCCAACCCATTCCTTATGATGGCATCCGAAAGCTCAATGGTCTTGTGTCCCCACGACACCATCTACGGTATTTCAAATTCGGAACCTTCTGAAATCCAAATGCACTTTGGGCTCAGAGTGTTTCAAGAAAAATGAGCTTACGGAAGAGACTGGGACAAAGAGAGGAAAATAACAGAGGTAACAGTATCAGAAAAAGAAAAAAAAACAAGCTTGAAGAAAGAGAGAAAGGGCTTTAGGTCTGCCCTATTTTGCATAGCACCTAAGCACATGTTCAACTTTAAGCATTAGCTTAAGTTCTATTAAAGTCAGCGCTTTTAAAGTAAAATATACTTGACATCAAAGACAGGGAGCCTGAATTTGATGTGGAGAAAAAGGAAAATGGAGAAGCAGCCACAGAATTTGGTCTGATGAAGTGAGCTGTAGCTCACGAAAGCTCATGCTCAAATAGATTGGTTAGTCTCTAAGGTGCCACAAGTACTCCTTTCCTTTTGAGAATTTGGTCAGGTGATCTCGGAAAGCTTGAGAGGAGGATATAGGCAGAAACCGAAGTGCCGGGGATCCAAAAGAGTATGAGGGAAGAAGAAATGGAAGAGTGGCAGCCAGCATCGCACACAAGAAATGTGGACATGAAGAGAAGGTGGGACACGGGGCTGTAGTTTGAAAAGCAGGTGAGCAAGGGAAGGCCTTCTAAGGATAGAGGAAACTGTCGTATATTTGAAGGCTGAGGGGATAGAGCCAAAATAGAGAGAATGAAGGTAAAGGGAGAGGAAAGGGAGAGCTGAGACTAGGATGAAGGAGAGAATGCAGTCTGGGAGTGAGCAGGAAAGGATGTCAGAGAGGGTAAACACTCTTGCCAGATGGTGTCAATTTTTTTATATTTTTGGGGGGGGAAAAATTAGCAAGATCCCAGGCAAAGAGGGAAGAGGAAGAGAAGGAGGTGGCTGGCGAATGGAAGAAGCTCTAATGGTTCTAGATGCATTAGTCAATAAGGAAGGTAAAGTACAGCAGGTTTTCAAAGAAAATGGATGTGTTTTTTACTTTATTTATTTATTTAAATTAAACACATAAAAACACCCACCTATTCAAATGCTCTAGACAGCTTGACAGAGATTTAAAATATAAATCCAGAAAAAACAACACCAGTCCCTTCAACAACAAACAACTATTATAAGCATAACAAGCAAAACATTCTCATACCAGACTACACAAAAGGGCACCACTCCTTAGGAATCCAACAACCAACCCCCCCCTACCCTCCAAAAAAACCCTATAGCTTGAAATCCCATGCCCCACACACCTCAATCCTCTCTAAGTGACCATTCAGAGAGATCAGCCTGGCAGCAAGCCTTAATGATCAGCAAATTCTCAGACTATTTTGGAGCAAGGAGAAAAACAATTCCATTCACGAGGCCATCATGAAGAAGGCTCTGCCAACAACTCCCTCACCTATAACCTATAAACTGAGGGGATTTCGGCTTGAGGACTTCTGCTGTTCACAGCTGGGGCAGTATCATGTAGGAGGCCAGGCAGCCTGTCAGGTAGACAGGAGCTCAGCAGCAACTCAGACATGCAGTCCCTTTCTCTGCTGACTAACAATGCTCTAATATCGCTTCCCTTCCACACTACTGGGTAAATATTGATTTTGTGTACAACAGATAAACATGGGGTTTGGAACGTTTTTTGTGCACTAATGTTTGTACGTTATTGCAATATAGTGTGAAGACTCAGAGTGGAAATGAACATTGCTTTGTGTTGTAAGAGTGTCCTATTGTCCTGTAATGCCTGGGCACAGAAAGAGCGAGTGGAAGGTACTGTTACAGATTTTACTGCAAATGACAATGCTTTTGTGTGAATGTTTCCACCTTACTGCATTGTTAACTTTTTTTTCTTAACTATTTTGTTAGACATATTATTGGGCTTCCAGAGTCAAATCAATATTTATTAGCATGAGCCTGCCAAAATTAGGGTACAGGTTTGCTTGTAAATATTTTTTTGAACTAGAAAGGCCTGACATTTTTCTTATTGCATCTCAGTTTCCGTGCTTCTGTCAGCTTTGTGCCTGATTCCTAGCCAATCCCACAGTGGGAAATGCCATAGTAAGTAGTTACGAAGACAGGAAAACACAGGAAAATATAAATTAAAGAAAAAAGCCCAGCCCCTTAAAATGTGTACTTCATGTACTTTTTTTAAAGCCACTCACCCGACCCAAAAATTTTTGATAAATATCAGAAACAAAAATCCGTGTTTATGCTAAATCGGAGCACCAGCACAAGAGGAACACAGACCATGATTTTCTCTGGAAGCAGCGAACTCTTTCTAATTTCCACTGTAATTTTTTTTTAAGCACATACATAACATTGTAGAAGTGCATGTAAATCACCACTTGCCTGCCCAGTGGAACAGAATTTCAGCGATCAATGCCAACAGTTGCCTACAGAAGGCATCTACATCTGGTCTGCCACATCCAAGACAGCAACCACAGACATGCGTTTTGCTTTGTTTAGAATTCATCGCTGCGGTGCAGCTGAGCCTCAGACAGAAAAACTATCAGCCTCCAGGGTTAAACAGACAAATGCTTTTCTCACCACAACTTTTTATGGGGAGGGAAAGCCATAACAATGTATGTAAGAGTTCTTATGCAAATCATAAAAGGCCCAGTGACTTAAATTGCAGCTAATGCCAAAAGTTGTTTATTGTACATTTTCCCCCGCTTAAGAGTAGAAAGGCAGAATGGATGAATGATAACATGAATCTCATTTGCTCAGATGGAAAGAGCATAATATTTTTAAAAATCCAAATTCTAAATATTACCATTCAAACACAAAGCTAAATTAATATTCATCATTCCTGAGTGCACGATGTTTTACTAGGAGGCAGAGAGGGTTAATACATTCATTAAATCACGTTTACTTCCAAAATGGCAGCTAATCTGATACTTACCTAACCATTCATTGAATTTTTTAACTTCGCTAGGAAGTCCCAGTTCAGTGAAGTCACCAGCATGTATTAAAACATCTCCATAGGGCATTTGGATTGGATCAGTTCTTGAGTGAGTGTCAGAAATACAGACAAATCGGGTATATCCTGGAGGTTTGGGGGCATCATGGGGCACAGGATCCACCCTATGGGAAACGCATCATGAGAAGGTTATGAAATAGAGTTGACTACATAACCTTTTTAGTATTTACTTTGCAATTCCAATACAGTTTTCAGTGTTACTAAAGATGACGTATTCTGGATCTGTGTGGTGAAAGTCACTTATTAGAAGAAACTCACAGAATTAATAGGAGGTGTAAGAATTTTGGAGTTCACATCATAGTGCTTTAAATATTGTCTGGGTACACCTATTAGTTGAAAGAGATTATGGAAAAGGGATTGTTTCAATGTTATTGTCATATTTCAGACACTTACAAATAAAACAAAGGCATTTCCAATTTCAAAATAAGAATACCATCCTGTGTTCATCGTTTAGATAAGATTGCACACTATATTGAGAGAAGCATTTTATCACATATATAAATACATTTAAATGCATTTTCCAAATCGTATTTTTTCTGCAGGTTATAAAATTCCAACAAATTTAATTAAAGCATTTTTGGAGATATGGTTCAGTGTGTTAATGCACCAGCAGATAAGAACTCTACTGACAGCTGCTGCAAATGCACATTCTAACCTTACTATTGTCAGGACAATTGTGGTAACTCTCTGGGCTTAATTATACTAAGTAAATCAGATGCAGTAAGGGGTGGTGCTGCATTGTATAGTGCCCAATTTCAAGACTCAAAACTGAGGAAAAGAAATTATTTGACCCACTTTTATGAAGCTGCCTCATGATTTAGGTAAGGAAGGCAGAGAACACAAATCTGCTGCATGAAATATACTTATTTGCAACTCATTAAATTCCTTCACCCTCAACACATTTCATTACAATATATAGAAGTATGTATGTGTAACTGTACCATAGCTGCAATTTCAGTGGGGGTAATTTTGGTGGAAAAAAACAGAAAAACAGAAATCCAAGAGCTTTATTAATATCAGTAAAATCTCAGACAGAATTATAGTTTTATATGAACAATTTAGTTTTGTAAACATTTGTCTTAAATGACTAAGAACATTAATTTAGTTCATTGTTATGTATAATTTGGATCTTTCCCCATCTGATCTGCTTCCCTCTTGGCTCAATTTAAAAAATTTAATTAGGAAAAATTAAAGTTATAGATCTTTATTATTATAAGAACATAAGAATGGCCATACTGGGTCAGACCAAAGGTCCATCCAGCCCAGTATCCTGTCTACCGACAGTGGCCAATGCCAGGTGCCCCTGAGGGAGAGAACCTAACAGGTAATGATCTAGTGATATCTCTCCTGCCATCCATCTCCACCCTCTGACAAACAGAGGCTAGGTACACCGTTCCCTACCCATCCTGGCTAATAGCCATTAATGGACTTAACCTCCATTAATTTATCCAGCTCTCTTTTAAACCCTGTTATAGTCCTAGCCTTCACAACCTCCTCAGGCAAGGAGTTCCACAGGTTGACTGTGCACTGAGTGAAGAACTTCCTTTTATTTGTTTTAAATCTGCTACCCATTAATTTCATTTGGTGGCCCCTAGTTCTTATATTATGGGAGCAAGTAAATAACTTTTCCTTATTCACTTTCACCACACCACTCATGATTTTATATACCTCTACCATATCCCCCCTAATAATGTTAGCATTATTAATGCTAACACTTTGGTGTTTATGGGAAAAGCTTTCAGAGGATCTCAAATTGTTTTACAAACATAAGTTAATCTTCACAACATGGGACAGATAAGAATTATATCCATTTTACAGATGAGCAAACCGAGGCATGGATGTTATGTGACCTGATAAGTTCGTGTAGTCAGTAGTAGACATTAGTGAGACAACCAGGAATAGAGAGAGTCCTGTTCAAATTATTAAACAATACTTACAAAAATTCTCACTTTACCATTTATAAAACACATTAAAAAGCTAATGTATGAGCAAATTCTCTTTGTTATACTATTTTTCTATACTTTTTTGGGGGTGGGTATGTCTTTTTTAAAATCATTACATCTATGGGCAGGTTCTAGCAAAAGTCATAACTTTTCAAAAGTTTTTTTTTCCACTTTACTAAATCTAGGGAGTAATAACTATTTAATTCGAGTGCTGTGCAGCAGGAAGTATTAAGCCCAAGCTTCCTAAAGTTTCACACCTCTTGTCAATTTTTCAACAAAAAGTGACCGGAAGCGAGGCCAAAAGTTGGAGCATGAAACATGCACAAAAGCAGAAACTTGAGGTCTTACATCCCTGACTTCCAAACTTTTGCTCTCCCCATCCCTAACTCCCCAATAAGGGCACCTCTCCGTTATGCAGTTTTAAATTATGGATACTTCTGAACTGCAGAAGAAGGTAGCCAGAAAAATAATGTACCTTTCCCAGGGTTCTCATGCATTTGTACAAAATAAATAAAATGTGCTGATATGAATTTACATTGCTGGGTTTTCAGTGTAGGTCATAAAGTGCATCCCTTAAATATGCCTCTTCCCTCTTGCCTATCACTGGAACAAAGCCAAGGTGAACAGCAGTAACTTGTGCATCAAATCATAACCTAAATTTCACATGGTCCTCCTCTGAAGTTGAATGAAAACACAACAGACTTAAAATGGCAAGGTATGCAGCACGCAATACGTACGCTTTTCCTTATGCACAATTTAGAATTTTATTTTGTGGGAAGCATTTTCCTGATTCACACTGGTCAGCCAAGGTATGTATTGCTTTAAAACCTTGTACAAAGGGCCAAAAAATGTATCAGATATAAATAAATATGATAAATAAATGCAATACAGATCACAGTGTCACAAAAATATGCACACATTAAGGATGTGTGAATTGCTTTTGCAGTACAACAGTGCAAAAGTATGTCAGGTTTCACATAAACACATTTAATTGTATTGTAGGACACAATTTCTTAAGGCCTGAGACTGATGTCCTTGAGCAACACCTGACGCTCTCAGTAGCCCCACTGATGTCCAATGAACTGTTTGCACTGTGAGTAAGGGAAAGAGAAGAATGAGGCCCTTATGATCTATATGTTTTGTTTAAATAGCATATAAATTGAAAAGCAAAGCTAAAATTTCAGGACAACAGTTGTTGCTGGAGGTTGGTATATACACAGGGCTTCAAAGAAGTTTCATACAGAAGCAGAGGTTTGCCTGCATACAGCCAGGATCAAGACCTTAAATCTTCAGGGGACGACTGTCACGATTTATGTCTTCTACAGCTCTGATTGCAATATCAGTGCTTAACAAACAGTAGATGACAATTATCATAATAAAATACATTTGCCAACTGTAGCAATCCAAAGCACCTCGCAACAGAGGAACAAGAAAGACAAAGATGGAGCCAGGAAAATGCTGTGAGAGGTTGGGAATACTCCTGGATGGTGTAGTTAAGGTAAGACAGGGAGTGTAAGACAGCACTGAGCACCAGAAAAACCGTGTACTAGCTGTAAGGCTGAAGTCAGAAGCGCTTTGGAGGAGAGCCAAAAGCACTGAGGAGAAAAGCATTTATGGAAAGTTTGGGGGTGAGTAAGTTTATATTGGGTTTATTCGTTATTACTTGCAACATCACTAAACTAGGGATTTTGAAGCATATAAGTCACTAATAAGGTGAAACCCTGACCCTGCTGAAGTCAATGGAACAACTACTATTGATTTCAATGGGGCCAGGATTTCACTCATAATATTTATGGGCATAAAGGACATGCAACATTACATTTCTCACCATTCTGTTAATTTGTAAAAGCCAAGAACAATATAAATACTGTAGGTATTCACAAAAATTCTTCAAGATTTCTACTGTCTAGACAAATAGAGTTGGTCAAACTACTGTTATAAATATTATTTGTTACAACTTAGCACATTTTCTGGTTTGCATGAACGTTTTTCAAATGCATTAATTATTCATGAGTGTTGAACACTTTTGGGGAACAATTTTCAGAGACTGGCTTGTTTGTGAACTGCTCCCTTTAGAGTATTCACTGTGTTGTGTGGTGGATCACCAAAGTCACGTGCTATTGTATTCACTCACTGGCTGGGTGACCGCAACATTAAACAAGAGAATAATGAGTAGCAAATGGCTAATAATGAATAACTAATTTCCAACCCAAATTTTGTGACGAAAACTCATATACGCAACTTTTGGGATTGGCAAACGTATTCATGAATGCCCAGCGGCTGTCTGAATACACACAAATAATGAATAATATGCCCCACAAATCTCAGAGATCTGAACTTGGCACTTCTGTTTGCCAAAATATTTGTGAATCAATTTTTTTGTTTTTGTTTTCTGTTACCATTTGCCAGCTCTGCAAACAAAAGATGTTCCCTGATGCAGATATTATATTTGTTTTATTCGTTATTTGTATTGGGACACTACCTAAAAGCCCCAGCTAGGGGTCAGGACCCTATTGTAATTGGCATATATAACAAAAACCTGCTCCAGAGAGTTATATTCTAACTCCGCCCACATGCAGGCATGTGTCCACATTAGCCTTCAGGTTTCCTTTCTATGGTGTACAATTTGTACCACAATTTGCATGTAAAATATCAATGAAAAGATACATACCATCCACTCACGTTTTTTTTTTAAATGAATCATTCCCTATGTTTAGAAATTACCAAAATGTATTAAATGTAGTGGATGAAACTAAGCCAATTTATTCAGTCCTGCTAAAGTTTTTTTTAAATGAAAATCAGTTCTCTGATCAAAATATAAGATCGATTCTCTTTTTAAAGAATAGAATAAAATACGTTACATTTTTATTTCCTATAAAATATTTTGCAATGGATTTATATACTTAGTTTACTTGTAATGGCTTAACAGTTTTGCTCTCCCTTCTGGCTCTCAACTTTATGGCAGGTTTTATTTTGCAATTATGATCCTACACTTGACATTAAAAGTAAATCACCATTTAGAACAGTTAACTTTACTGATGTCATCATTATATATAAAAAGTCAAAAACAAACACATTATTTTAATTACTCTTTAAGCACTCCATATCTTTCACACGCTGGTATTAAAGTAGGCTGTTGGATGGGTACCCACACTATTTTATTTGTTGCTGTCTTTTTTTTTTCTTTTTGGTAGTACAAAGCGGTAATACAGCTAACCGAGCAACAGGAGAATGTTTATTCTGAATACAGTCTTGGTATTTCAACAGCTATTTACATGTGATTCAAGTTGAGAATACGAGTTCAAAAAGCTGATGAATGCTTCTAAAACTGTGGAAAATATTATCTATATGAAACCTCTTAGATTAATTACATTCCTTGTTGTTTTTTTCTTTTTATAAAGGCCAAATTGTGCTAGCATAGTGATTCCTCTTCTATCCTTTAAAAAAGTACCTATACTTCCCCAATGGACTGAATTGTATCAGTAATTATTATTAGAAAGACAGCAAAACATTGTTCTCTGAATTCTTTCTGACTGGTCCATCAAATACGACATTGACAAGGCAATAACAATTCTGAAGGCTGTGTTAGAGCAATAACAAAACTATAATACTTACATTTGCACATGTGGGGGCTGAAAACGTCCCTGGTTAATGTTGTAGAACGTGAACGCCTGTGTGGGGTTTGAGCTGTACTCATCCACTTCAATTATGAGTCTACTGTGTTGATGCCTTCTAGCGGCCATAATGTGCGACTGGGCGAAAGCCATGCTTGCACTGTGCAGTACAGCTTTTTCAGACAATCATCTGTGCTATCTTTCTACATCGACGGAAGAAGACCATGTTGTCTCCTTACCTCATCAACGTGCTCCCCTTCTGAAACCTAAAAGCAGACTGAAGAGATGGAGCATAACCGTTTGACAGTTAATCTGTTTTGTATTTGCTTTATTTAATGTCAGATGAAGATTTAAAGGGGGTGGGGGAACATTTACAGCTCAAAGAACTCATTACAAATCTTTCCAACTCAGTAACTAGATGAATATATTTTAGTCTGAGTTTGCAGGGGAGGGACACTTGCAAAAGAACACATGGCGCAACATGTTCAAATAGTTAAGACTTTTAAACACAAATTTAGCACCATGCAGTATTGGTATGTCAATTTTAAGGTTGTGTCAACACAATTATTTACTCCCCCAGCCATTGTATTAGTGAATATTTATATCATAGCCCCCTTCAAAAATGTTCAATTGACTGTCTCTGAATGACTAAAATGCAACACATTTTTAAGTTAATTAAAAATCACCAGTTTAAGGCCTGTTTTTCAGTAGTGCTGTGGCATTCATGAAAGGTATGTGTGGTCAAGCTCCCTTGAGATAAGAAATGGGTATCAAAATGGGTTTCCCATTCACATTTCATTATATTATGCCTGGCTTTGTAATAATTTCTAAAGGGTCTCCTAGTGCAGATATGAAAGCTTAAAGTGCTACTGCTCCACTATCACACCTCATATCCTACTGTGAGTTAGTTTAGGCCCCAAATAGAGGATTCATTGGAAAATGGGGTGTTTCACAGCCTTATACCAATAAAAATGTTTTCATTAAGTTTTAAAAAGAAAATCAATTGAAACCATTTTGGATACTCCTCACTATGTATCCAACCCTAGAACAACAGCAGTGATTGTTTGGGAAGTGAAACTGACTGAAATGCTAAAAGTAACCACTGAAAATAGCAGAAAGTAAATTAAATTAGCTTTTTGTCTATCCCGTCGCCTTCCCCCCTCTCCCAGTTTTAATAAACTATTTCATGACTGGTAATAAAAGTAAGGCTCTTTTATGAAATTGTTAGTTTTTGTTTACTTATTGAAAAAATACTTTGCTTCAAAGGAACTAATTTTACAAATATTCACATTATAAAATAGTTATCATTGAATATATACAGTCTCTGGGCAGTGGTTCTGCAAGTATCTCACAGACATGGTCAATGTATCTCAGTTCCACTCTAATGGAACCACCTCCAAACATGATAGGAAGGCAGTTCATGGTCGGTAATCACTCAGTCCTTTGCCTAGCTATTAAGACTGCCTACCAGGGTGCCAAATCTGGAATTAGTTTTTGTAAGGTGGAAGTTTGTCTTCTGTCAAACTGGGATGAGACCTCTAGTTCATTTCATTACATGGCTGTAAAATGATAACTTGCTGTCATTACCAACCTACAGGGACATAGCCTGAGAATTTAAGAAAAAGAGCATATTTCTTCTTGACTCCATTAGAAATGAGTGGTAAGGAAATAGTAGAAAAACAGCCAAGCAAATTCTGGATTTTAAACACTCTCAGATGCTGTGTGCATGTTATGGAGCAGGCAGCAGAATGGAAGTGCTTGAAAGCAGGAGGAGGGAAGAGAAGAATGATCCTTGTAAGAATAACAGAGTACACATTTTTGGACTTAAGAAATAAGGCCTGACCTACACTTAAAATTTAGGCTGACTTAGCTACGTTGCCCAAGAAAGGGAAAAATCCACACGCCTGAGCGCCATAGCTATGCTGACCTAACTCCTAGTGTAGATGCAACTAGATCAATGGAAGAATGCTACCTGTCACTGTAGGCTGTGTCTACACTATGGGGTTATGGCAGCCAGTAGAGTCCCAGTAGTATAAACAAGTCCTAAAAGATTAAAATGGCAGATATGAGGTCTTGTCCTAGAAGCACTGTATGCAAAATGGTGCATTTTCAAAGAAGTTCATATGGACCATGCATGTCAAAGTCAGAGATTTTATATTGGACCAGCTGCTCTGAATAAACAGACATCTGTTTGAAGTAAACTAATATAAATGGTGATTTTTAGAATTAAATTCAGCACAGTTAGTAATTTGAAATTCCAAAGTGTCTACAAAAGGGTCTTGCAATATTTTATAAAGCATTAAGTTTCAACCAGACCCTGGTGCAGTGTGTAAAAATTTCCCCCATTTTACAAATGGCTAACCCAAGGTTACAGTGAAGCTGAGACAAATATTTTCAAAATTAGGAGCCTAAAACTGGGCTCCTAAATCGATATTTAAGTACCTGCCTGATCCTGAAAATTGCTGAGCATCCAAAAGCTCCACTGACCTTAGTGAGAGCTGCTGGGTTCTCAGAACTTTTGAAAATATGGCTAAATATGCTTAACTTTAGGCTCCTATTTTTGAAAATCCTGGCCTGAATGATTTACCTAAGGTCACATAGAGAATCATTGGCAGAACCAGTCCTAGACACCAGGAATCCTCATTCTGAGTTAGATGCATTAACTACTTCCTCCTAGCTGGACAAGGTGGACAATAGCACTTGCTAATTCCACTAACATTAGCTGCTTTTGGTAGAATTCATTATACTTTGTTCCCAAACACTGAGAAAAGTGTACCAAATATACTGCTCTGATAGCACTTACTGTAGAAGGGTTTTCATAAGTGAGGATCCAGTGTCTTCACACATGGGAGAGCCTGTGAATCACAGCACTAAGCCAGCCTGCATGGATGCTAGCCAGAGACACTCAGCATGATGGTCACCCTGTAAACAGGCAGAAAATGAGAAGCCAGTATGTCTCACTTGAGAGGAAAAAATTGTGTTCTCATAGCACTACTGAGCCCTCTACCAAGTGACAGCCATACATTGTCCACCCTGGAGACATACAAATTCTCCAGGATAGGAAAGGGAACCAAAAAGCTGGATCTTACCCTAAAAAAAAATAGCTAGCAATCACATGAACAACTAGTCCTAAACAGAAATCAGAAAAATATAACCACAGTACATAACTAACAATATTAATTCAACAGATGAAGCTACTGTCAGCAACATACACAAATGTCTTTGATCCTTACCTTTCACTCTCTTGATGCCTTGCTGAATAAGTGGCTGGCTGGTTGCTAACATTCTTGGTGACTGATAGAACAAGCTGTCTCCCTCCAGCCTGACTGCTATCCAAACTGACACTAGTCACTCCCCCTTATTTTCCTTTGCAACATTCCTTAAGATTTTTTAAAAATAATTTGAAATTTCCCCCATAACCCAGAACAGGGTGTGACATGCAGTAGGAAAATAATTACCTGCAGCTGTACCATGTAAGTTTTAAAATCACATGCCCAACACTACTAACATACAGCACTAAGACTCAAATCCTCACATCAACACATGCTAACCACTCTCTTCCCCCAGACTTATGGAGCTATGGGATGGCTGCCAGGGAGATACAGAGAAATGTAAAAAAGGTTTCATGAATATGAATATTAAAATAAAAATCACAATCCTGGATATTAGTTCTTTTTCAATCTCCAACATTTATGATTCTATTAAATGATCTATCCATCTTCTTACCAGTGTAGGAATGTTCTCTGCATAATTATTTTTCTAGGACTTTATCCAGTTTACTTTTAAATGTCCCCAAAGGTCTGATCCAAAACCACTGTACTAAATGGATGTCTTCCCACTGCCTTCAATAGGAATTCCACCACTTCCACTCGGAGATTATTCTGCAATGGGACAACTCATCTATTTGAAATTAGGCACATTCTTAAATCCCGTGCTGAACTGGGGCCTTACAGAACTCAGCCCTAAAATTTTCCTTTCTTAATGTCATCCCAATATTCTCTTGTATACGTACCAAACAAAATAATTCCAGTCCATCCTTTGCATGAGTTATCTTTCCTTTGTTTAATTTAACCTCTCTCTCCTTCACTTTTCCCATTGCAAACCAACATTTCACTTTAATCTCCCTTCCCCCATCCCCACTCTGATTCTTGTTCTGCCTTTTGTTCTTCCTCCAATTCCTATCTTTCCCTGTCCATTGTTCCTCAACTAACTTACTCTGTTCTCTGTGCTACAGTCCCCACTACCACCTATTTTTTGTCAGTCCCATGACAAACATCTGTTTTGAGGCATTCTCATAACCTTCCCAGCTACTGGACAAGAGCCTGGATCCAAATCCACCATGGCTTAAGTACAGTAGTTGTCATCTTAAATAATACTTACTGGTAGGTTGTTAAAATAACATAAGCAGAAGATAGAAATTAAGAAGTAAAAAGTGTGAAGAAGAGATGTATTGTGAGATAAGCTTTGCAAATACATGAAAAGTCCATGAGGCAGAGAAACATATGATGGCTATTCCAGATCATAAGAGCAGCAGTGGAGCAGTTGCAGCTCTTGCAGCAACAGTAGTGAGGTAAGGTGAAGAGCAAGAGAGACAAGGCCAGTGGTAGATGAGTGGGAACAGTATAGACAGAGAGAAGATATGTGAGGTAGGCTAGAGTTTGTTCACGGAGAGTCTGAAGAACTGGGATTCGGGGATGCAATTGAGAAAGAAAGTGCAGTAGCAAACGGAGAGGAGATTAAGGCATTTCCATTCAGCTTTAAAACAGTGAAGCCCACATATTTCAGGGAAAGAGGTGCTTAGAAACACAATACGTTCTCTTAAAGAAGTGTATGAGAGTTCATGATAGATAGTACAGTAATACAGTGTGGCTGCTTACGGTGCAAATACATCTTTGATGAAGTAAATAAACTCAATAGTGCTTGGTGGAGAGTTCAAATCTTCCTCTGCACTGCAGGCAAAACTGCTCTCATTGAGTTTGTCTCAGGAATAGAAGCAAGTTACTTTAGATAAGAAAGCAAAAACCTTATTTTTAGAAAAATCCAGTGCCACAGAGTGTTCTACAGTAAGAGTGCCAATTATCACAGTAACACTACTGTAAGATGTAGCATTTGAATCCATTATTCTAAAATACTCTGTTTTTGTTTTAAACAAGGGATGGGTTGATGGAGATAGCCCAGCATTAAAGGAATCTAGTGCTATCAGTAAAGAAACAATTATTTCATTTAATGTGGGAAACAGGCTGGATGCTCTAATAGGTTTTCCCTCTAACTTATAATGTTTACATAATCCTGACATAAACTGGTAAATAGGATCATTTTGCTGCTCTCAGTTCTGCCACCAGGAACTGGATAAATGTTCTTCTACAAGAAAGTTTGCAATTAAAAACTGCTTCAAAGGAATATGTTCTTTTTTTGTTTGTTTGTTTGTTTGCTAAGACAAATAATGACAAAAATGCTGGCAAATCACGACTACTGAACAGTCTCTTCTGGCTGGTTTGAATTTACCTTAAAATAAGAGATCAAATGTTCTCAGCCTATTTATGGACTTTAAAACAAAGGTAGCTTGATTAAATGGCCATTAGAGGCTGGTAGCTGTTGAGGCTGATCATGTACTGTACAAATGTACTTCTGGAACCATTAGGCCTCAAGTACTCCCTGTGAGCCAGTAGTTTGTTGTATAAATGCATATTTAGGGAACTTTTTAAAATGTACATTTTCTGAACTAAGACTATAATGTGTAGCACTGAAATATGCACTTAAAAGTCTACTTTTCCCAATGTGAATGCGTTATGTACCTGCCATTAGTGTCAATGACAGTTAAGAAAGAATGCTGAAAGGAGAATAGATTCCTTGGGGATATTTAAGTTATAATCTGTAGTGTCATTTAAGGTGTTTTCCTCCCCCTGCAAGCTCTCCAAAGATTTCTATGTTATGAATTAGTGATCTAAAAGTTCTATTTAGAAACCTAACCCCATTTTAGGTACAGAAGCACTACATTAAATGGCACCATTAACTTTTTAAGATCTCAGCTTAGTGCTGCTGAAAGGTGCCAGGGTGACAGCCTTGCACACTGAAGTCCTCTGCAAGCTTCCCTGAACCCCCTTTGTGTCTCAAGCCTGCCTGGAGAGACCCCTTCTTGAGGGTAAGAAGGGTAGTTCAGACCCCATTCCCATTCATTCTATGGCCTCTTTGGTGTAACTGCTAAGAAGGGTGCTAATTATGGTGATTTTTTGTAACAAGGATATCTCTCCACTGGGAATGCCACTGAGAAGTCATGAGATGGCACAAAAGTTGTATAGTGTAAAAATTTAGAAATTGCTCTCATCACAGGTTTCACAATCCTCAACTGTCAATCAGAGCATATACTTCTATGCTCTGATCCCTTAGGATATAACTGTAGCTATGCTGGCTTAATCCTGTGGTATAGATGCAGTGTACACCAACAGAAGGGGTGCAGGTACACCATCTCCCCAACCTACGGTAGCTAGGTCAACAAAAGCATTCTTCCATTGACCTAACTCTATCTACACTGGTGGTTAGGTTGGCATAGCTACATTGCTCAGGATGTGGATTTTTTACTCCCCTGAGCATCACAGCTATGTCAACCTAAATTTTAAGTGTAGGCCAGGCCTTAGACTCAAAGTCCTTTGATTCAGGAGCATGTCTAACTGAAATAGATCTCTAGCATCCCTCTTTTTAAACGTCACTTCTCAATGGTGGATTTTGATCGTTTATTGGCGTGATGTCATCCTCATGATCTAACAGGATTTACCATTTCATCAAGCCTATAATTTGTTTCCACAGATCTGAACTGCTTTGAGTAATGTCTGATTTATAATGTGGAAAAATGTGCTTTGGTGACTCAATGAGACCTCTTATTTCACTTTAACTGAAACTACCTCAGACGTTTTTTAAAAATTCAAATTCTTTTCCCCTTACTTACAAAACAAAAAAAAACCCCAACATTATGTCTTGCTGCTTATAACTACCTGTCATATACTGGGTAAAAAAAATCCTTTACTGAAATTAATTTTCTTCAAATTAGTTTTCCTCCACTGATCACACATACAAGTAAGTTATTGTCATTATTTTAGTTTTAAAGAGCACCGAAGCAATTGTTGGGTGAAACTGTCACAAAAAAGATTGTATGCATATTGTAAATAGATATAAAAGGAGGAAATAAGATACATTAAAGTCTGTCTCCTTTTTAAACTATGCCTCCTTGCCTATTCCTACTGAATTTCATCAATAGAAATGTTTTACTTATTGTATGCCACAATTCTGGACAGTCCTGTGGACAGACAGGCAGACAAGGAAGGAAGATGAATGCAGTCAGAATACACTGAATATTAAAATACTTCACCTAAGTAATCTAATAGCTGTACTGATTTAATACGTTTACCGCTCAGAAGCCTTTCAGTATATATCATTTTGAATTATGACTACATGATCGCGCTTTCTAATTCTCTTATTCCAATGCCCACAAAATTGTAGTTGCTTGTTCTTCATTTTACAAAAATTTGTTTCATTTTTAAATTATTAACAGTACAACTTACTGGATCATGTCCTGGGGTACACAAGTACTTGCTCACTTATACTTTTCATTCTAAAATACAAATGCAGCACAATAATACTTCTGTTTCCACTTCAGACCCTGAAGAGGCTCTATTTTACAATATATCATGAGCACCCAGCACATCTTGGAGATAAGAATATTACAGTGTTTGCATACACAAATGTACTGAGCAAAGAGAAGACGTTTATTGAGACTAAATAAATTATTATAATCCTACATTAGATCTTGACTAAATTTATCCAGCATATCATACTTGGGTAAGGTATTAAAGTGGCCACATTTTCTTATGGGATAAACCAAGTCCTCTTTCAGAAAAATAAACAGTTTTGGTTTAAGGTTGTTTATA